TCAGTTTCGATAAATAAGCAATTCATCTTATTGCGTAACGGTTGATTACGAGTAAAAAGCGTAAAAAATCATCATAAAATTGTGATTATTCTGTGAAAATGGCTGAGCATCTGTGAAAATTGGTGACCAATTGACAACAACTGATATGGATTGTTTGAATATCAACATTGCACTTTGGAATTGATTATTTTTGAAGAAGTGACGTATTGATACTTTTTACAAATATGAAGAACGTTTTGAGCGTACAACAAAAGAGCTATCTTGTGTGCTGTTAAATATTTATTTTTCCATATTTACCCGCTACTACTGGCTGGTCCTTTACCGGCTCGACTGTCGTCAACAATTGTGAATATCCTTTCTAGCAAGAAACCATATCTTTTTTTTGCATGTTGTGGAAGGTGAGGTGAGTCCGAAGTAATTTTTTGCACCATTCGCTCGAATGGACATAAATCAATCGACAAGTGCCTCAACTACATCCAATTTAGCCTTTCAGAATATGGTTGCTTTATCTGCTACACAGTGGATGCAAGGTACGCTTTCAGCATCGCACTTCTCCATATTGCTTCCCACTTTGTCGAATACTCTTGCAAATGTAACTCTGTTCAACCAGCTGACGATCTAACCAAATTTATTTCATCTCACTATCAGAGACAATCTGACCAAATTTATTTCCAGTCCGATAAAACATTGCTCGAAGAACTCTCATGAGCTCCAATGAGTTTTTCTACGTACCACATTTGGTAATCATTATCAGAAGAAATTTCTTGTGATAATGTCTACTGGTGTTCTTTCAGAAATTCCTACTCTTTATTTGGTATTTCTCATATTCTCTACATTGGCCACAGCAGTCGTCATTGTGGTGGCATTCATTCATTTATATAATATTCATTATCACATTCCTACTGAATGCGTACAAACTGATCTTTACACTCTTGCCTTGTTATTTCCGGTCAGTAAATTTTCACTTTTTAGAATTCAACCATGATGAGCGTTTAGTCTTTCTGAATTAGGTTTTATTTCCCTACTTCATTCATTAAATTCCTTAGAATTATCTCTGGAGGACACATCAATGAGTTCTGAAAAGACACTTGCAATGTTGCTACCATTGAAAACATTGTTGTTCGAAAGTTAAGCGACTGGAAGAAATAACGTAGACAGTCGTCATCGAGAATACGACGAATCAGTTGATTGAACTGTTATGGAACATGTGAGTTGACGATACAAGTGAAACAAAGATATTTGCAGATCGTTGGCTTGGCATCGTTGCTCGGGATGTACCTCATAAGAAGTGCGACGTTTTTGACTGTCATCGCTCATACGTATGTTGTTGGTTATTGCTGAATGCAACGCGCATGAAATATCGGCAAGAAATTCCAAAAAACATAGCAGTTTATGGAATGTCTTACGTTTAGGAATGAACTTTCGAGAGATTCAACGAATAAAAATGTGGAGGGCCCAAATAATTGCTGTTGCTACATATTATAGGTATCTGATGTATTGTTTATTGGCTTTGGTGAGCTTGCATCGTCATATTTTCGGTGGCCGTGAAATGATGTGTAGATATTTGCTATCACAACAAGAATTCGTAAAGTTCAACACTCCACCTTTTTGTTGCTGTTGCAAGTGTTTACCGGCCTTGAAACCAACTGTGTAATACTTCCTTTCAAATTTCCTTCGAAAGCGTTCTATTCATGCCTCGTATAGACTTCTTTTGTTAGTTTATAGGAAGTTTAAAAAATGTTTAAGCGCTGTGATGTTGGCCTGGAATTCTGCTACTCATCCAACAGCTATATCTTAGCTTACCGAAATACTCATTATCGAGGCCATTTAAAAGTTTTCGAATAGGATGAATCCATCTCGATTATTGCTGTGAGATGTTTTTTATGAACGTCAACAAAAATGACACTGACCATCATCTCACGTACAGCATTTCAGGAAGACATTACGACGCATTGAATGGTCAATATTACAGTCACCGATTGTCCGCATTCTAGCTGAAATTGTGAAGACCATTGCGTTCTTTGAGCAAACCTCATTTTCACGGTGATAATTATAGATTTTATGTTTCTGTATTTTACTTTAACAATGAAGCCATTATTTCAGAACGTTTAGCTAACTTCAAAATTTTTAGTACCATCGACTGCAAGCTTCATTTAAATAGAATAAAAAAAGGAGCATTTTGACCTCGGTTTTTTTGCAGTATTGTATTATGTTTAGTTTCAGTTATTCCATCTTTAGAGCCATTATTTTGTAGAGTGGCATTGGTAGCAAATGTTGTAGAGGTTATCTCAATGATGTCTGCTTTTTATGGATGTAATATCTTAATTAATCTTGGTCAGGTTAGATTCTTTTTCATATTTAACCGTTTGGATGGTCCACAGAAAAAAAAATCGCAATCATTGAACACTTCTGGTTTACTGCTTAGGATAATGGTTCACACGCACAAAAGCATAAATTAAGAAAAATAATCTAACAACAATAATAATCTTGAGCATAAATTAAGAGAAAATCAAGAAATAATCCAACAACCAAGAAACACCTTGTTTGCGATATCAGTTTTCTGTGATGAAGGTGGTGGTTTGAAAGTATCCTCGTAAAAACATGAAAGAGTTGTGGCAAAAATTAACCAAAATAAGTTAGAGTCCCCCCCCCCCCCCCCCCTCCCATTCTCCAGCATGATATCTCCAAACTCCTCCCCAGCGTGCTTCGAGGACGGCAGAAAGCTTTGGAAGGGGAAGAGTCGGGAATCCCGAAAATTCAGTCGCCATGAACAGTGTGGGGACGCGAGCGACATCCTCAAAATTTCCTTTCCCTTCAACACGCTACTATTCCCAAGGGAAATTCTCCTCCCACCATGGGAACCAGTGGTTTAAAAGATTGTTCATGATCAGAACAATTGCTCTGTCGTGCAGCATCGTTGGGGAAAACAGTTTTTTTTTTGATAAAGCTTTCCTATTTGAAGTCTGATTAATTCATGCTGATTCGGGTGTTCCGGGTGATTCATCCATAGCACACGCATTCTCTGCCATCGTGTGTGGTGTAAATATAGGTCGAGAACGTAGACATGGATCACTTGATTCGATTTGATGTTCGTGGAGAGAATACTGATTGTGAGTTTAAGCAGAATTTATCATTGAGATGTTATTTCATAACCTACTTATCATAATCTTTTATCCAATATACTCTAGGAAAAACAAGCACCATATAGAACGCGCGTCATATTTCAATGTGTTAATATGACGCAACTGTTTCTCGCATTACAAATGTTCATTTTTAATTTGGTTGGTCAATTCCATGGTTTTGTATCATCCAGTTTGATGAGTGCCAACTCGAAATCGATGTGTGAGTAGAGTTTCCATGACAATGTTCCTATTTACTTATTCATCTATTTATATAAAGAACTAGCAAGCGATGTCGAAGAATTTGAAATGTTTATGAGATACAAAATTAGCAATTCGAAATTTATCGTTTCAGATTGGAACAGTACTTGTTTAACGATTGAAATGTGTTTATTGTCACTGGTAGCAACGGTATTACTTTCGAGAGATAAAATGCATTTCTTCAACAAATCGAATCGTCAAGTCAAGCAAAATGATAGTGGATACGTAAACAGAAGTTTGGAGGACGTCGTTTAAATTGCAGAGAAAGCTCCTTTTCTGCTGCCAAATATAACACAGCAATGAAAATATTCGCTCGAATCGGTGACGAAAATTTTGGTGATGAAAATTGAATACGATATTTTCAATAATTATCATTTGTCATCAAAACCGTCTCTAAGGATCCTGAAGCGTTTTATTTCATTCATCCTTAACGTACCTCTTCGTTTGTATTTTCTCCTTTTCACCGAAACACAACGCATTACATTACTTCGTTGGAAATGGTGGAAAACGATTTCTGCGAGCAGAGAATACTATTTGCTAAAAGATCATGTGTAAATGTACATACTACCTAAAATGTTTCATTGTTTATGTGAACTTTTGAAAGAAATGAATAAAAAATGTTGGAATATGTTAATAATGTGTATGTTTGCACATGCATTCACACTGTATTGCCGAATGGATAGTTGTTGCTGAACACGCATATTGTTAGAGTTGACTGACAAAATGAGAATACTAAAAGTAAAATGGCCGTAGAGAGAGTCATTTGAGTATGGGATTAATGATGTTTAATTCGAGATTAGTTTATTAGAGTGTGACTGGATTAAGCAACTTCATAACCCTATTTCGTATCTAACGAGTACCATCACCTGTCATAAACACCACATACCTCACCCGATATCCACTCCTCATACAACCATTAAGTTACCGGTTGTCGTTTTGTTATTATTTGGTCATGTTCTCAGCTGTCGTGCCCTTTGGTTCATCATGCTTACTACTGGCGCTTCTTGTCACCGACAGTAATTATTTAAAATATTCCATTCTCAAGTCGTTCGAAAATCTTCAAATTTTTCTTGTCCAGACTTATGGAGAATTTCCATCTCATTCCTCTTCAACAAGTTGCTTTGTCGTCAGCTACAATTGATTTCTATGCTTATAAGAAAACAGACGTTTCCATCAACAAATGCAACATAAGTTTTCTGGCTGAGAAAAAAATGCGAATTTAGGGATCAATGTTCAAAATATCAGAGAAATAAGCGTATGTGAATTAAGTGAATCTATAATAAATTCTTTTTTTTTTTGAAATCCAAAGTCTTAGTTGATTGAATTGAATAAAGATATTGAATTGCGAGTATTTTCGTTTGAAAACTATATCATTCAGGTAACGCATGCCTACCACCTGCGGGTTTTGTTCAACCTTTCTATCAGCAACCGCTTTATTCAGGTCAGATTTCAGAACTTTTTAGCAACTGTTTGTTGTTGTGCGATCTGAAATGGACAGGCGAGCAAGAGATCCGAGGAAATTTTTGTATTTAGATATGATCCAGACGGGGAGCCATGATTGAGGAATTTCTCATCAATCGTGTAGCTAACATAATGTGATTTTCTAATTTGTATTTTCACATGCCAAAAGTGACGATTGATCATCTAGATGGATTAGGAGCTCTAAGCGTCGGTGCGTATCGGGGCCTGAACCCGTACGCACATGCACTCGCGCCGGGGTCAACACACCACGTTGAAACGAGTCTTGACGAAATGGAATCACCATCTGCTCTGAACTGCCACGTTTTTGATGAAACGTGTCGATGGTCAAACACAAATGAAGATGAACTCGACTGGAAGATGCGCGGCTCTGCACGTGAAGCTGAAGGATTCATCACTACATTAGCTTCATCATCACTTCCAGGTAAGTAAGAACTTACCTGTGAATGATCAATATGTCATTCCAAGAATTCTAATGGTGCATTTGCCATCGAGAACGCTATTCCAGATTTATCAGCAGCAGTGTTAACTTCAACAAGAAACAACGGTTGGGAAGCAGGACAGTTGATTTCCGATCAACTTCCATGTATCACTTCACCATTGCAATTGACCGCAACCGTTTGGCGATCGCATGCGCCCACTCCTTATGAATTGCCTAATCTTCAAGTGTGTTCGCGGAACGTTCACAGTGATCTACCGCTCTCAAACTGCAATCTATTTCCAATCAAAAATGGAGTACCAGTCACTGTAAATGTACCTCTTCCCAAGGACCTATTCTCTCCAGTTCAGGTTAGACTCAGTCGCACGTTCTTAAAATTACACCTCCGAATTACTTCCATTTTTCGCCCTGTAGCAAAGTGTGAGGGAAAAAGGGAGTTGACTAATTGATATTTTCAAGTGCATAATCAATGCCTAATCACTCTAATGTATGGTACAAATTTGAATGCACTGATTGAGCAAAAGATTCAAAAATAATAATTTGCCGACGATTAATCACTCGAAATGAATTTCAGATAGTGTTAGTGGGTGATAATTTTGTTGGCTCTGATGGTGGTGCAATCTTTTTGCAAGATCTTTACATTGATGGGCATATCGATTCGGATTGTTCAGCTACTGGAGTTGATACTCAGAAACAATTCGCTTCTGATCAAGCACTATCTTTGTCTGAGAGTAAAACACTCCATCCTTTAAGAACGGATAAACTCTTATTACCAAGTTTATCGGCTATGTCGAACCTGATTCCCTCACCACCGAAAAAACGTTTAAATGCTCATTCAGTAATGTCACTAGAGTCGCAATCAGCATCCTCCTCAAGTGATCACCTTTACGAAACATGTCTCACTCTATCGTGCAATCCTGCAGGTATCTACTTCTTGGAAAATGTTGAGTAATTAAGTTAGATGACATTCAGATCTATGAAAATTCTCTTCCTCTTTCAAAATCAGTTTCACAAAACTCATTTGAATATTTCACAGATACAACTTATTTTTTGAAGAAGTTTTCCATCGCTGTAGTAACTTTCAACAACAAATGTTGCAATTATGAAGTACAGAATTGAAAAAACGCATAAATTATCATGCAGAGACACAATGTAAATGGCGTTCGGAAGGTGATGCATGGCTGAAGGCATCAACTCATCGTTCATCAAACCCATTAACTGGTGTTCATATCCCACCAACTGGCTCAACTGGTTATTTGGTTGCACCATTCACCGATGATAATCCACAGTCATCTTATTATCAAATGATCAGCCCAACAGTGAATGTACCATTCAATGAAGGCGCTCTATATTTTTGCTTTAACGAGTACTTCGCAACTGACGGACTGAGACTAGCGATTTGCATCGATAGATCAGCACAAAATTGTTTCTATTCGAAGAGTGATATCAATATTGAAACGAATATTGAGGTGAGAAGTTGAAAAAAAAATTTATTTTCATTACATCAATCAGAAATGCCTATGAATAAGTGATTTAGCAGAACTCACAATTGTAACTTGGCAGGACTCATTCATGCAAATGCTACAATCGTGTCAACAGTAATCATCAACGATGATGATGGTGTTCTTTTTTAGTTTAAAGTTGAGAACAACTAATTGGTTGACAAGTATCACTGAAATTATTCTTGTTTCAGGAGAACCGCCGATGGAATTTTAAGTGTGTTCAACTTCCAAGTGGTTCATACCAGGTTTTCCGTTGCATTTTATCTGCTAATTCCTTGTTACGTACTTCCTAGCAGTCCAATGATAATTTTAATGAGTTTGCCTCGAAATGCTGTGTTTCCTTAGATGCTTTTGATAAATAATCGTAAGAGGCTTTTGATAAATGATCGTAGAAGTTTAACAGTGTTCGGTCAAACAATTAAATAGCAATGAGTATGAGATTGAGAAGATCGCAGCTGGTTTCCGCTGGCTATTTTTAATGGTGCTTTATTACAGCAAGTGATTGCATTTAAGGCATGTATAATGGGAAGTGGGTCATCATTGATGAGTTGGGATTATGACTGCCGTACATTTACATGATTCAATGCTGCTGCATTCAGTCATGAATGCAGCAGCATTGTTATGAATAACATATTATATTTAGGTGAGCATTGTGGCTCAAAATCGAGGCGCAAATAGGGGTGATATCGGATTTGTACCCGTTCGAGTGACACGTGATCCATCCGGTTCAGACGCCGTCTGTTGAATGACACGTTAAATTTATGTGATTGTAACTATCACAGCAACTGTTATCACTCACTATTGTATCCAGTTTTTTGTCGAACGCTTGCCTCTCAATCACCATTCAATCACTCTAATATTATTTCATTAAATTTATCCTTGTTCATAAAATTGCCATCTACTTACGTCTTTATTGTATGTGTGCTGGATCAATTATGAACTTCCATTTTATCTTATGGCTTAAGATTGTTTTTACGCCAAAGTGAAATGATTAAATTCGAAATTTTTGAGTAACGCAGCAAGAAGTCATCGTATAAATTTATGCGAATGTGAGCAATTTAAAATTGAGTTTATCAGCAATGAGCATTCCAAATGAAACAATCTTCTGGTGAGCTCATTCCAAAGAGAATGCAAAACTTGCAGTTATCCAACTGTAATGATTCACCTTTTGCAATGATTATCTCATTGTAATGATGCTGTTTATTTTTTGATGGTTACGCAAGTACGTAACCAAAATGGAGCAATTTATGATCGAACTTTTCACGGATATATTCTGGTTTCAAAACTACGAACTACCGTCCATAGCATGAAAACTCGAGAATATGGCTCGCTTCAGTGTCATTTGTTCCCACTGTTAGTGACGGAATTTGTTAACGATGAATGACTTCAACAAAAGATCGTTATTGAATTGGAATTTAGAACCAAAGATGTGATTGCATCATTCAAAGTGAATTTCTTGAAGGATTGTCATGAAATTTGCCATGATTATAACGTAATTGTCATGAAAGTTTGATCTGAACAAATAATATTCGTATTATTGCATCGATTACCGTTCATCATTACTTTAGTAGTCATCCGCAAGATATCGATGACGGCAGCAATTTTCAAGAAACTACGCCTAATGAAAGCTCATTCATTTATATTTGAACGCATGGAGGACAAATGAACAGATTTATGGAATATTTAATGAAGAGTTAACAGATGCATAAAAATGATACAGTCAATTACGACATCTAAGAACAGCTGTTCCATCAACAATGAGTGCAACAAATACATTTACTGTTCTGGCTCAGTAATCCAGCGCTTTGATGCTGAAAAAGAAATACATAAGTGTATATTGATTCACCAAAAAATGCGATGACATGGATCGTATATGGGAAAGGTCACTTCTGCTTTCTGAATGGTTACTTATCTCAGAAGGTGACCAACATTCAATTAATTGATTGGCAGGCATTCAGAAAACAACATTAAGAATGAAAGTTTCATCAAAGGAAAACATTTCATCGAGAATGAAAATTCTACAAAGTTGATTTCAATACGGACGTTTACCAAGGTTAATTTCACAACAGTGCCGTGGGATTTTCGGTGATCATGTAGAATTGCTTGATCTCATTTTTTCACATACCAAAGAAGTGTGATCTAGCATTGTATGAAAAACTTGATGCAAGAAGAAGAGATATAGCACTGAGTGGGATTGACTGAGGATATTCCCGAACGTCATGTATAATTTACCGAATCTCTTCCAATTGAAGTGGCATAATTGGCGCAACACCCTTGACAGTATGAATACGAGGAGAAGCCGCCTGGATTGCAATCCTGAACCGATGCTCCGTTGAAGAATTTGGCTTGTGTGGTACATTCTGCAATGAATTCGAGTATGACATGATGCTTTCGCATGACCCGCTCGTTTACAACAGTACCGAATGATATTCCTCTGGATGGTAGGAGATAACCATTATTTCATCGTTCATGTTGTGCGTTTGGAGAATTTTGAAGCTAAGTTCGAAAGAGGTGAAAACGGACGATTCATCGCTAGTAAGAATATACGGTTGATAGGATAACTAAGCGAGGAGTGAATGTCAACGGGTAACCATGTACATATTCCAAATCAGTTTCTGAAGTGCTCATTCGAAATTAATTCCAGTTTTGAGGATGAATTTGAATTGCATTTAGGCTGTGCGCTGTAAATGGCATGATGTGATGTGAGTGAGCATGGGAGAGATCGCAAGGAAACATTCAAAACCAAAATCTAACGAGTGTTTCATCATGAAAGTAATGAGTAGCGCTGATCCATCGGTGACTCTGACATGTACACAGCTTCATTGAGAAATGAAACACAAGTTCAATTTTCAAAAATAATCGTTGAAATCAAAAATGACTAGATTTAAGGGTGTGTGAAAATTTAAATCACTGCATGCATCGATGACACTGAAACATATGCTGAAAGTGAAGACTTCGAGTGGTAAAGCAATTTAAACTCACTGATACACGTTGGGAATGGCGTCTCTGGGATGATAATCGATTGGACTTGTTGAGGCGCTTGTTGCGTAGATGCAAAAAGCATAAACGAAATCAGCGCAATACCGTACGCCACCAACATATTTATTCGTTAAGTTGCGGGTCACTAGCACCTCCGATGTGATTTCGTTCGGCTCAGGTCAGCGGTTTTATAGAGCATTTGTTTTGTCCTTTTTGAGCATCAAGCAATTCTTGCTTCTCGGTTGTTAGTGTCTTGTGTTTTGGTATGAATAAGCATTATTAGAGCAATATTAACATATTCACATCAAATTCATCTTGATATGGTTTGATTCGCCCACAGTGTTGAGACTAACTTCGTCAATAACATAAACAAAAAATGTTTTGATTATATATTCACACAATTCCGAGCATCCGGAAACTGATTGTCTTCCATATAATGCCAAAGTTTTCTTCGAATTAAACGTCATCAACCTGATAATATTTTACAATGAGAATTTTTACTAATGTAAACGTTCATCGTGAGATGAACAATCGAATTTTTGCAATCAGTAGAAATTCAAAGAAACGAGAAAAGATATGTGAGGATAAAGAAACGTGATAAGTGGCCCACATCACATGTTAATCCAATCAAAGATGTCGCTGTTTGATGATATAAACTCAAAACACAATCGATGATCGTTGATGAACTCATTATATATGATATCTGATAGTCAAAGATGGGCAATAGCGCGCTAATTCGCTAATCCGCTATCAGCAAATTAGTGGATTAGCGCACTAACGTGCTCAGTTAGCGGAATTTTTTAGCGTTAGCGGATTTATTGTCATTGGTTTGTGGGTAAGCGAGTTAATTTTCCGCGAATGTTAGCGGATTAGCGGACTAATTCCGCTAACCGTACGTCTGCGAGTGAATACGTAAATCTTCCACCATTAAGGTATGTAAATACGATGTAACACTGCACTAAACTCAAGCCTACCCTACTCGTACCCTCTCGAACGGTTCACTGTTGAGTATTCAATCAAGTTATTGTTGTTGTTGATCACTGTTTACCAAATTTCATGATCGATCATGGATAGGAGAAATTTGAAGGGCATTATTATTTCAAATGTAGGAGATGATGGATGTGCGCAATGCCACTAGGAAGTTATTATCGATGAGAACTAATGAGGAAGAAGCAAAGATCGAAAAAATGTTAACTGGATGGATGTGCCATTAGAGTTTGCAAAATCACGACGATTTTTCAATCCCGGGATCGAACAATTATTGAAATATCGATGCGGGACATGTTTAAACACATTTTTTTCGAACCAATATGTTCATTATTAATCAGAAAGGAGCTAATTCAACAAATTATTGAACAAATCCAGGAAACTAAGTATTCAAATTCAAATCAGTATTTCATATAATGATGCCAATGATCATGCCGCAAGGGCATACTGCATATTCTATGCTAAGGCATCTTGTCATCTCGGGTCTAAGCTAATAACAGTACACTTGCATGTGAATATGAAATTCTTGATTCTCAAACACTTATTTGCAATGCTTCAAGTCCATTTTCTCTCAGTATTAACTTCAGCTGAATTCTGCCGTTTCGGAAATTTCGATTTTTTACGGAAGAAATGCACCGCATGAATTATATAATTTGAATTTTGAAATAAATAAAAGTTCGAAGTTTATCTAAAAAGGTAAAAAAATATCCGCAATGGATTTTGATCGAACCATCCATCAAGCACTTACATATTTGATAATTTCGATCAAAAATCATGCAAATTTGCTTGATATTCAAGCTTAAGATCCTTTTGAATGGAACAACTTTGCTCATTTCGGCAATGAATTCTCACTATGAGTGAACTCAGTGAGAATTTATGTACATTTCGATCGGATGGAAACGTTTCCAAATAGCGAAGTAAAAAGACTTGCAGTCTTTGGAACATGCAGTTGAATTAACAGATGGAATATTGAAGCTGAACAAATCTTGTGGGAAGAAACGACTCAAAATTTCATTGAACTTCGTTGCTCTTGGTTTTTATTAGAAAATGTGATCATCTCTGTTAGTCTATTACATAGAAATGCATCCAGATAAGGGTGATAAAAAGCAATGAAGAGCAGAATAATCAGTTGAATATTCAATGAAATGTTACGTAAAAGTTCATCGAGNAAACAGCAAAGATAATTACATATAAATTAGATGGGAATGATTACGGCTTGCTTCAAGATGGGCATACTATCAAAATTCACACAAATTAACCTGTTTTACCGAATCCCGAAATCCCGGGATTTTTCAAAACTTAAATCCCGGGATCGGGACCAGAACTGTAATCCCGGGATCCCGTGCAAACCCTATGTGCGATTGATGATTGCACTGTACATTGTTGTGACATCGAATTGTGCGGGAATTTTGATATAATTAACAAACTGATGATTATTAGTGACTGCTGATTTTCTCGTGTTTATTGACTTACTTAGCGGTGATTGTTATTGACTGATAATTATTGAGTGTTGTTGAATGATTCAATAAAGATTTTCAACTGTTTAACGTCGCAGTGAGGTTTTCCCTTTACAAATAAACGGTACTGATGCAAATTTTGAGAGAAAGTTCCAAATTAGCGATTAGCGGACCAATTTTGCTTGATTAGCGGATTAGCGTTAGCGCTCCGCCAATTTTTTGGTGATGTTGACGCTAGCCAGTTGCAGATGTAGTTGTTAGGTTAGCCATTTAGCGATTCGCGCGCTAACTTTTTTCGTTAGCTTGCCCATCGCTGCTAATAGTGACCACCACTTTCAGAGTATAGTTGCCCAAAAACCACTTAAAGTTTTTCCCTCCCCCCTTCCCTCTCTCCCCGAAAATTGGTCAGTTTATGGCGATTCAATCCCCTTTCAACTGAAATCATGTCTTCGAAATATGCGCATCATTTTTCTTGCTCAAATTTCGACACTTCATCAACAAATCGATTCACTTATCCTCGAACTCTTTTTCTCTGTGCACCGCCTAACCGCAATGCTTCAAAAGTGCATTTTGATTTGTATCACCAAAGCTGACTATTGCTTGGCATTTGAGCACCTCATCATTTGCATTGCAAATGTGTGGTCTGACTGATGCTCTCCGTCTGCGTCGCGCTAGGCACAGTTCGTGCCGGTATTTCGCGCATCTTTCATCATTTTAAATGTTTACTTGATAGTTTGATGCGTGCGTTATCATTTCAGATAACTTGTTGTTTGCCATAGTCGGGAGGTGGACAAGCATAGCTTTTGACGAGGATGTCTGGTGTAAGGATTCTGGTTACCTTAGAAACAGCGGTTTTTTTGTCGCTTTGCAGGCGTATTTGATCAAGTCAGCCACTCCAAACATTTCTCAGTTCGCAAGGTTTTCCCCTTCCGTACATTTGCTATTCTGTCCAATTAATCAGAAATTTAATTATGCTTTTCTGCGGTTCAGTACACTTTGTTGCTGTAAAGGGGTTACACCTTAACAGCAAAATCCATCGAAAGAAAGAAAAGAGATAGCCTCAGCATAAGCCTAAGCGTTGCTCTAAAGGGGTTACCCCTTAACAGCAAAACTCTTTTCGTTGTCTATCTGTGTGAACGACCATCGAAAAAGAGAAAAGGGATAGCCTAAGCATGTGAGTGTGCGCACCCCTTAACAGCAAAAGATCCCACTTTGGTATTGGATGACTTAAAAATCCGCAATATTTCAAGGAACGAGGATCAGAATTCTATGTGCAGTCTAGTCGGTGTGATAAACGTGATGATTTTCAATATTGTGAAGAATTGCCATGAGAGGTATTGCATAGTATTCAGGTATACGTAATCGGAAGTCTGTAATTCCATATTGCAATTCAATCAGCTGTCTTTTGAGAAGGGGGGGGGGGGGGGGGGGGGGGGGGNGGGGAGGGGAGAGAGAGAACATGAGCTTAATCTAATTGGTACATAATAAGTGCGTAGACGAAATGAATGGTTCGCATAGTGCATTTATTATCTAAATTATTCGAAGAGTCATTCGATGGCCGTGATTGCATTCGAACAAATGAATAGAAGTGAACCAGGATCCATATGTACTTTGTTGGTGTTGAATATTTCATATTGTTATGCGTGTGTGAATCGTAAAATGTAATTGGTTCTTTTTTACTATGATCACTCCATAAAATGGTGTATGGAAAAGTAGTCGTGCTCGATATTGACGGCTAATCTGAAAAGAAATAAATGAAGACTTTCCAAATCTGTCGTCGATCAATGATGCTTATTGTTAGATGTAGTGTTGCTGTACCTGTTACAAAACGGGTCTAATTGAGGGGTTTCTCTTCGCCGAATTAAAGATTCATATTGACTGTGTTATGCATCAACAAAAAACTGTTCTGTCGAAGGTTAAATTACAGTTAATAAAGAGTTAAAGAGACAAAAGAAGAGTTAAATTCAATCTTGTTCTTCCTACTGTTTTATGGTTACTATGTGTGTAAGAGTAATAACGGAAATGGTATAATAGTAATAATAATAATTCCAGTGTTATTGTTGCAGCTGTTATTATTCTCGCTAACAATTTACCTATTCGTAACAGTGTTCTTTCACCGATATTGCTTTGTGTATTTGAGATGATTGACAGATTGAACGATGGAACTGACGATGACTTTGAAGTAACAGATACGAAAATGCACCCTTTACCGCCGTATGATACCTATCAATTCCTTGTGGAACATTCGACTGCTTTTGCAGTTATAGTTGCCATTTTTTCGGTCATTGTATCCACCATTCTGTGGCGTTACGTTAAGAGTCATGAACAAGAACAATTTGTCTACACAAGTCCACGTACGTCCATCTTTCGTCTATTTTCTGAACGCTTATCTATGCTTCCCAGCTCATTTCATTTTTTAAAAGAGCTAGTTCTGTACTATTTTGGTTAACCTGGTATCACATATCATATTATTATATCGCATATTATGTATTCTGCTATTGTTTGTTCCGTTTGGTTTTTACTCATGTGTTCTTTCATTAATGTGCTTTGCAGGTGATATGCATTGTGGAACGTTCAACAAATCGGTTTTGAATAATCTGCGAAGAGGAGCATCACCCATCTCAATAGCTCATACAACATCTTGTAGTGTAAGTCACTCTTCGTTTGGTTTCTTTAATTGATAATTTTTCCCTCCGCATTCCTTAAACAAGCTCGTAATCAGTAACTGGAAATCATTGTCAAATTGTGATAAAATGGAGGTTTACATTGATCTCTTTTCGTAAACATCGAGTTATCACTGATTATTCAGTATGATAATAGCGTCAGTAGAAATATGCGCGTTTACCACTAAAGAGATGATATCATTTGAAGAATCGTCGTACAAAATTGGTGGATGATAATGATCATGGCTCGGGTAGCAGCGAAGAGTCGGTAGAAAAGCAGGACAACGTGAGTGACAGCATGAAGGGAGAAGGGAACAGCCTCGATAAGGGAGGCAGTAAAGGTTATATGTTGGCACGTTTATAGATTGGTCATTGCTATTCGATTTGTCACTAAGCGTTATTTATTCGTGCAACGTTTCAGATGTTTTGTCGAAAAGAAACGAGCACTTGGACAATGATGACACGCATTCGAAAGATCCAATTGAGGAAGCATGTTTCTCTATTCGCTTTCGTTCAAGTCTAGTTTTTCTCAAATTCTTTCATTTTGTAGTATCTGATCCTTAATTTATGATCAGTTCCTCATTATCATTGAAATTTGCAATAAATACATTGGATCTCAGACAATCCTGAAGGATGGTTAGAATAGTTTTCAACTGTCAAACTTGTGCATTTTATATTAGTGACAGTTGAATCATATGCTCCAAAATTGTTGGTGTTGGTGAATGGTGTGACTGATCTTTTTAGACGTCTTCGTAGGTTGAATCGAAATGTTATCCCAGTTGTTATTCATCAGTTTTAGTATCCAAGTGAAAAATTCTCAGGTGAATGATGAGGGTGAAGTAGAAAGTCTGTTGGCGACATCGAGTGGGAATAATTCAAGCACCACCAAACTGAGTGTATCTGATTGCAAAAAGATCAATTTGGTCAATACGCTTGGTAAACTTCACGGTAAATTAGCCACTGCCGAATTACGCGCAAGAGCGAGTAGAATCGAAAAGGAAATGACTGAAAGGCAACGGGATGAGGTGAATCATTCGTTTTCAGTTGAATATGAAAACTTCACTCCCAATTTAATTTTCGGTGATTGCAGAAGTTGCGTTAATTTTTAAAAATCGAGTTCCTTCGAATTTAGGAACGTGAAGTCCGGAGTAAGCAATTGGAGGAAATCTATGCACTGATGATGGCTGACGCTGAGAAATTTGGTATGCAAGATAAGTCCGAAGTGGTCGAACAAATGAAATTATACTCCATTTGAAAAAAAAACAACTGGTGTGTGGAACGCCTATTGGTGATATCGCATGAGCAGCTGGTCGATGGATTTTTCGATTCACAAGTTTTTGAGATGTCGTTTTATTTATTTATTTTTTGAATATATTCATGCCATATTGTACATGTAATAAATTTATCAAAATTTTCCTTTGTGTTTTCAGTTCAAATATAAAACTCATCATTTCATTCGAGTCGGTTGGATGAGTAGGTACAGTTGAACATAACAGATCCTAGGATGTATGAAAGCAAATGTTCAGAACCATCGAGTCATTCATTCCGCTCGACAACAGAATTATCAGACTGAGAGAAAATGTTCCGTGCATCATTGATGTTCCATGCATAGGGAGATGAACTAAGCGAGAACCGTAACGTCTATATGATTTCGTAGTGAAGAGTAGTCAGGAAACATCTTGAATGGCTGCATAGAGAGCTATGATGTTGTTGGTAACAGAGCACACGTCGTTTTTATTCGCGGCAGTTAAGTAGAGTCAGCAAGCACGTCTACTTGAATACAAGCATTCAACCTTCAGAGAATAAAGAATCGTTGTTGACTAATTTGCTGATAGGTGGAGCGAAAGGATTCTGCAGGTTAACTGGAATAAAAAGCGGTTATCTGAAATTTAATCAGCACCGTTTTCTTTGTGAATCACTGATGCAATAGAAATTTCACCTCATATCGTTCTTTACTTTCGAGCTGAGGAGCCCAACACCCAAGTGTATATCGGCAAATGCTTACTGATTTCATGATGATGATCAAAAATCACGGGGTGCGTGAGCATACCTTCATAACTTCCACATGTTTTTTCCACCTTACGGGTTCATGATGATTTACACTCTAACGGTTACCATGGTAACGTTAGCAATAACTTTGTCTGACTGGATGGGATTGATTAAATGAGTGCTCGGAACGCATTTAACAGGTCTGATGATTGAATGATCCATCCGAAGTTTTCCGGCTTACACTGACAAATCAACCTGATTAAGTCAAGTGCTTCTATATGTTCACCTTGTTTGCAATGCAGGGACTTCTTCGTTATTCATTCTTTTATTTGTTTTAAAACGAAACTTGGGACAATGTCATGTGGTAATCAACTGATCGAGTATATTGTGCATCTGATGAGTTCTGAGCACCTTTTGCGTCAGTTTATTTTTTGACGATCGTGAGCTCATAAATATGCCTTAGCGACTGCCGCTCGTGTTAATTGAGTTGGATAATTTCCTTCACTTTACAGTTTTATCTGTCTTGCTCGATATCGCTGTCTTAGAATGGGAGCAAATGTATCGACAGGCACAAAGAAGCTCAATACGCATATATCGATCACTTGCATGGTGATTTTCATTCGTGCCTCCTCATTAATAACACTTATACATGATTTTTGAGTATTGCTATGGAATGGCATTTCTGATTGTAATATGTTTTGTTGATTTTTTATAATATCTCTCTCGTGAGCTTCTGCTCTACTATGAGAATAGATGAAGTGAAACTACTGACATTTTAATGCAGTTCGGATTATTATAGTATAGCGACAAAATCCTCATTGTTGATACCACTGGTCGAGCTCAAAGGTTGATCCAAAATTTTGTTGAAGAGCATTGGCCAGGTAAATGAATTGATTTGAGTCTTTTTTTTCCCGAAATTATTATAATCTTATTTACATGAGCAATACAGTCGCATAGTGAACAATTTTATTCTTCTAACAAGAATTTTTTCTTTTTTTAATGACCCGTTACTCAGCTCTGCTACTAACGAATTGACGAAAATAAGTTCGTAGAAAACTGGAATAGTTGATATAATTGGTGTATTGAAAACAAGCTGATTCTAATCAGTATGCTGGATAACACTAACTATCGTTACCTCTCGTACAGCATTAGTTTTTATGAAAATTACAAAATACCCATATGGAGTTTCATTCCAAAGTCATTGAATTTTAATCCGTTACATATATTTTCTTTACATCTCGTGCTGCTTAGGAGACAAATAATAGATCAATTTTAATTCTTATTTTTGCTTTTCAATAGGAACTTGAATTGGCAAAATTTGTTCTAATGTTACATCTCAATTTGTTTTTCCCTCATGTTTATATTTGATCAGTTTTAATTTATAATTTATTTACTTGGTATTTATTGTTAATCACCCTTTTGTGCTTCCTAATTAATTCACAAATTATCATTAATTGGTTCAATTTTATAATCATGCTTTGATGAAGGTAATAAATTATTATTATATGTTATTTTGATGCCGAACGAATATCATTTCAATTTTTTGTTTTCAGGTGGCATTCAATCCCAACGATATTTGCAAGATTGTTTCGAGATAAAACTCCGAGGACGCCCTTTTCAGGTTTTCTTCTTATAACCATGAAGTGCAGCAAAAAAATTAATGTTTTTTTGATTATAAATTTGTAGTCACGTATACATTCATATAGACTTGTAAAATCGTGTCCATTCAATGTGATCTCTGACAGTGTTTGGACCCTATTTTTGGACACGAATGAAGATATGAATGTTCCAGTCCATAGTGTTCTGAGCACAGCGCTTCTTAAATACTTGCAAGCTAATGCATTTCTACGTCGTACAGTCGCAATAGATCTGTTCAGCTAGTTTCTTCCTCAAATGTGCTATGCGAAATTCAGTGATTATGTAGTTTGTATGCGATTAATTATGGTAATTGAACTGCTCACAGTGAGTGTCAAAAAAGTTTACTGCTGAACGAATGAACGGCTAAGAGTTAAGATTCCGTTGTTTTCAATTGGACAATCGTTGGGTCGAACTCTATCACAAACTCGCGTTTTCTTGTGTACGATGCTCACTGAAATGCATCGTTATAACTATGAACTTATTACATTTTTTTACATCGGCAAATCGTACGCTCGTACAACGTGGATTTTTACGATCAACAAGATGCCGACTGATGTTCGTTTATTTTTGCAACATGCGTTTCAACAGATCAGATTTCATCTTTTCATACAAAAGATGACAATTTTTGCTTTAAATCTTTGTAAGAACTGATATCAAAGAAATTACGTGACACTCGAAGAGGACCCATGTGCATGAATCATGAGTTGATTGCAAACAATAACGTCTAAAATATCCACAGCTGCATTGTACGCAGCTTACACTGAAAGTTATTTTTCTCATGTGACGTGCCGATCAGTCCAGCTGTTGCCTTCATCTGAACTAAATTCAAAGCCAGTGAGAATTACTCAAAAAATTCCATCGTGATCACTCGAAATGAATCAAAACATTAAAAAGTGGTGATGTTGAAACGATTCAGCGACTCTTGCTAATACCGCTTGACATTCATGTATTCTTCCCGGTAAACATAAAAATTGAATCAATAATTTTCATTATATAAACTTCAATAAATTCAGACAGTTGCATTTGAGCACGTTTTTTGTGTAAGTGTGCGTGGCAAAGACAGAATACAGTTGACATGTGCTCCACCTTTAATTGAGACACAACTAATCAACCACCTATCGCATTTAATACAAGAAATTGACAGCGTCGAAAACGGCATCGATATAAAATTACGTGGCACAGCCTGGGTGCCCACTAATTTCGAACAGGTTATTCACGTTCATTTGAAATTACCCATTGTCGTATTGCTGGGATCTCTTAGCAAGTTTTAAAGGGTAGCAACTGAAATATGAAAGTGATAAGCAGAACTGAAAAGAGATGGGATTTCATCCGATCGCTGCAAGAAATGGACCAACCATTTTCTCAAACGAATCGAACATGAAGACAACATAAAACTTTGATTTTTTCAAGCAAGGTGATGAACTATACTAATCATATATTTCAATCTGAAGGCGGCAAGTGCGAAAAGGATATTTTTGACATTATTCCGACACTTCAACTCTGCTGGTTATCACTTTCTGTGCTCTGGTTCGTTACGTGGTCAAACAAAAAGTGATGTTTTCTTCTTTCGTAAGGTTTGTCATATCTGCAGTTCGATGCTTCGCATATGCACAACGTTGTGAGAATTACGGGATAAAGACTGGGATATCCTCTATCAAGTCTGCCAAATCAGCACTCATCTTTGACGGTTTTGCTGACCCTCATTTCGACGTACCGGATCATTCGCAAGCATGTAGAACGAGGTACTGATCCTAGGAATGAACACTACAGTGTCAAATCTGATAAGTAACGGAGAAGGGAAAAATTATGAATAACAATTGAATCAAAATGAATGGAATTGTATAAAAGAGGCCACCCTGACAAATCACGATAAACAGCAAAAGCTCGACTGCTATTCATTGTCGATATATATGTTCTAGGTATTTCTGAAGTTATGCAAAAGTTTGTTCATCTCACAAGTGTTTCAATATAAATTCGACAGAAAAACAAGATAATTTGTTTGGATTTTGGTCAGTGTATGATAATGCAATTTTTTCAGCATTTGAAATGCTGCAGTGATTCGAACTATTTCCTCATATCATACGAACGTAAAGATCGACTACGAGTGTTTGAAGCTCCTCCTGAAACATTATCGTGCATTGATGCTGTTGTCAAGAATCACTGGTCGAGAGGAATCCAGGAAACAAAAACTACATACGTAAACAATTTTTTGATCATCGACAATGTTGCAGTTTAAGCAGATTGTAACGCTTGATATGCTTAACATCATGGCTAACTTCTTGAGAGGGTTTCAGTTTAGTAGCCACATTTTCCTTTCAAATGTTCAGAACGTGTTCCTCTCACAATCAGAGGTTTTTCTCAACTCATTCAGTTGTACTCACGCAATAATAGATATATTAAGTTCACTACAGAAGATTCATTATTTCATGAAACGTTCTCACAAAACCAGATGACAATAGTCAGATCCTGAAAGCTTGACAGATCCAGATAGAAACCACCAGCAAACTATAAAAACTTTCTGCGGACAAATGTTGGCCATGAAGTTCGGATTATTCAGCTAGGGTGTGCTGAATTCAAACTTGCTGGGAATCCATTTTATACGGATGGCGATGAGTTACTGGAAACTCAAAGGATGTCAATGGAACTTGTTAAGAAGATGTCCGACATCGGATGGAAATTAATTACTAGTGTAACATTATCACAAAGAATCAGTGATAAGGTATGTTAATGTTGCTATTTCACTCGACCCACTCATACGGCTCCTTACCATACGAAATGTGAACCATTGCTATCTGGACTCTTGACATTCTCATAATTTGGTCATGTGAGTGGCAGTGGGATTCCTGACAGTTGCTCACACGAACCTCGGGATGCTTCTTCTCGTTCTTGACGGCAATAGTTCCGCAAAAAGGCGTAGTTGGTATGTGAAATTACTTAGATAAACAAACTGCTAGGCCTCTTGAAGCATATTCCATCGCTCTGTGGGCGAACTAATTTGTTCAAATCAAAACACAGTCTCACTTCTGCTCAGATAAGTAATTCATTTAATTCGACTTGGTAATGTAAACAGCACTCGCAAACGCCATGTAATCAAAAATCTTTTCAGTGTTGCCTCATATTCGAATCTTCAACGCCTAGGAAAATGAATATTTTCGCGATAAGTCCAGCCAAAAGTGATCTGCTAAGGTTATTAAATGCACCGTTCGAGATACGTGCAACAGTAAAGAAAATCATCGAAGAGTTTTGGTTACGAGGGATACAGGAAACTGGTTAGATAGTTTGAAATGAATGTTATCGTTCATCCTTACGCAGTGAACTGATGTTCAGGATTTTGCGAAATGATGTAATGTGCGATAATGACACAATTTGTAAAATCAATTGGTTTTATGTATATCACTTAGAGTACCTCTAATACCTAGTCCTTATGAGCCATTTTATCTGCAGAAGAGGTGCAATCATTGTGAGTGTTCCCAAAAAATTTTCTTGGTTAACTGAGCAGTAGAAATTCACTCGAATGTAGTGAACGTTCTTTTGGAAAAGCTCATAAAGGTTAAACAAAAAAGAGAGTGAATGTTTAGAAGAAGTGGAATGGTTTGTTTGCTACAAATTGCGTGGTAACCCTTGGGCATTACGAGATAATTGCGATGATGCGATGCGAGGCCGTGTTTTATTAACAGCAATAATTGAGGAGATGAATCGACTGAGATGGAATGTACTCTGTTCGGTAGATGTTGGTTCAAGAACAACTGAAGATGACGAGGGACGCATCGTGACCGATAACGTAGATTCGATTCTGTTCGTTGATGCGAACATCCGCTGAGCATCCTATTCCTTCAGTCTTGTCGGATGTGCCAGCCATTTATCGTGTATAAAAAGTGCTAAATGAATTCTAGTATTAAACAATTTTTTCAACACAAAAGTTATTAACTCATACGGGCAAGTCTGATATCATAAAGTCAGCATGTATTTAAAAGCAATATTGATTTTTTCAATATGAACTCAGTTATGTCGACAGTCATGGACTCAATGATCTTCCAATCATTGCAATTTCAAGTTGAATTGAAATATTTAAAAGATTATAACTTAACGAATGAATCGATGCGTGCTTTCTCAATCAGGTTCAAACCTAATGACGGGGAATGGAGGGAATGCTTCTGCTAAACGGTTCCCATTTGGGATATCCGGAAGTTCTTCTCATGAAAAACTAGAAAAGGAGAACACCGACTTAGAATCATCACGTCACAACCAAAACAAGTAACAGAACACGATTTATTGTTGACTTTTAGTTTTAGTAAGGAATGAATAGCTTGAAAGTAGACCCTATTTCATTATTCCATATTATAGAAATACACCTGTAAATATTCGCTCGCATCAGGTACTTCGAAATAAGTCTATACACCACAACATACCAATTTTAGGCAACATAACGGTCGTGGCTGTGAAATAGCCAAAGAACCGTGACGTTTTCGTATGTTAAAATGAAATGAAATGAACGAATAAAGCATTCATTGTCGAGAAATGCAAACGATAAATAGCGAATGAATAGCATAGAGACGATCTTATTTGTCATAATGGAACTGTATGAACAGAAAACGAAATCATGGAAACAATAAGCAGATAACAATTTATAACGTTATTTGTGAGATGGTATCCATTCTTATTCACAGGATCAACATAGATGTGAATGTGGAAATGGTACAAATTTGGCAATAGTAACGGAATAAGGACGGGTCTGGATGAGAGTTCCTTGTCATCCTTTTCGAATGATGGGCACGTGTGATTTTCGCATTGGCTTCAGTTGAACGGATGACAACAGTAAACATGTATTACACTAGTTCTTTTTGGTGCATTCTTTGTGAGACTGAAGATCACAGTAGAGCCAACTCAGCCAAAATACAAGCAGCTTTAATCACTGAATGAATGGATATACGAACAGCCATTTATTTTTGCACGATAATTACACCAAAATCAAGTACAGCACACAGATGTTCCATGTTCCACCCAGTGGTCAGTTTCGTTAGTGTTGCTGAGTTGATGAGAACGTGTATTGTACCTTAGCCGGCAAGACGTCCTCCGAGTATTAATACACAGCATTCAGCGATCGCACAAAATCTTGTGCATCCTTGTCATCTTTTCTACTCGATAAGACCGCTGTTGACGGCTTTTCTGTAAACAATTCCTTTCTTCCATTTCAACATTCGGTTCCGTTTGCTCAAAATTTGAGTAATCAAAGAGCAAGAAATGGTTGGCAATCACATCAAGACTGTAATCGAATAGGAATTGGTTGCTAAGCATATGAAAGGCATTTTTGATTCTCATTTATCGCGTTTTTAAAGAAATACTTACGTAGAACCACCTCAACCGGTGAGGAGGAATGTTTAAAACAAAGCGCTTCTCGCCCACTACACTCACGGGCAGAAAGGAATGCTCAGTTGTTAATGCTCGTACCAATCGCTTTTTAGTCTGTTCGCTTGATATTCATACTCGTGAGCAAAGACCGAATAAAATTTCTGTTCACGAATCTCCTCCTTCTGTTTACGAGTCCCCTCTGCTCATGTGTTCACGAGTCTCCTCCCTCTCCCTCACTTTCGATCTCAACCTCATTGTAATCCACATCGGGTTTAAAACGGAAATAAATTTTAAAATTACAATCAATCCTATTATCATTATTATTATTGCCATAAAGTGATATAGAAGAAACCTCTTTTTGAAGGATGAATGAGAATGAGATTAAACTGTCGTAGCGCAGAACCAGCAGCCGTACCAATGCCTGGTACTTCAGCTAAGTCTAAAAATGCTTCACCAGCAAAGTCGTTCGATCGTAGAAAATCGTGATCCATAACGACGAAATGCACTATTGCAACAGCCGGAATCTTGTTCGGAATATGGCTGAAATATTTGGCAACTGCTTGTTATTACCTAGCCGGCAAACGAAAAAACAAACTGCTGAAAATTTTATATTTCGAAAGGAATAAGTGAAATTTGAGTATGATTATGTGTAAGTACCACCAAAGAATTACTTTTTTGGTGTTTTAAGCAACTAACATTGTCGCATCTTAATGATCTAGGCAAAACTGCTTTATGAGCATTCCTCTCATCACTTACCGTAATATGCTGCAAGATTTCATATTTGGTTTAACGTGCGAATCATCAGCAGAACGAAATGCTTTTGATAACGACGAGAGAATCAATCAATTTTATATACTGACATGGCGGAAATTTCGGAAAATTTTATTGTGCACAGGTCAAACTCGACTTACGACTGTCCATATTTATGACAGAGTTCTCCAGAAAAAATTCTTCCAAGCGATCAAAATGAGAACCTTATTCAATAAAACTGTTTAAAGATAATAACAGAGGTATAAAACCCTTTCAAATTACGCTAACATGCGATTTCATCTCAATGATATCCATAACTAAATAAGTACATTAATACAATAAAATCTTATTGTTTCATGGAGTAATAGCAGAACTCGTTGAATCATAACACTCTGTCATTTCAGCATTGATCTCACGTGTCATTTGATAACCAAAAGAAAAATATCATCTTGTGCAGATAAAACTGCGAAACAATGAACCGTTCAGTACTCATAAAAGCATTTCCTCAGTATGGAATAATGTTACCGAACGAGGTTTGGGAACAGATTTTGAAGCATCTTGCGATTAATTCAAATAAGACTACGCAAGGAAAGGAAGATGAAATCAAAAATTCAATTGTACATCTTGCATATTAACTTGGAATGCATTGTCCAGGATGTTGAGAAACTCATTGAATCTGAAGCTGAAGAACTTTCAAACATTGCATTAAGATTGTCCAATACACCACAGAAAGGAGCAGAAGATGAAGAGAACGAAACTGAACAGAAATTTACCTCTAAAGGGTTGACCGAAGCATTCTTATAGGTGAATAAAACGCTTGCATGAATGAATAACAGTATTGAGAGATCATGGAAATTATGAAGCAAATTTAAGCTGATCTGTAATGCGATCATGAAATTTATGACGAGAAGCAGAAACAAGCTTTTCAGTCTACAATCAGTGTTTTTCATAAACGACGACAGGTCGCTGAAGTGATGACTGTGATAACCACAACTAATTACGAGCAAAACGTAATCAGTAAAAAATTCATAGGAGTAATTTTTAACTTTAATTTGTTTACTCAAATTTCATGTCATTTGGGACTTGAAAACCTTCGATACCCAATTACATATCACATTACATTTTTTTGTTGCATCTATATAGAATCATTCATGCTCTGAAATTCAATAGCATTGTTGTAAATGTAGCCGCATTTTCTATATTTCAAGGCATGCATAAATCTATCCTTCATTATACGCCGCCACGACTGCCAAAATGCAATTTACGATCATAATGTTTCAAACTTGATCATTATACCGTATGTTATTTATCATGTTATGCTTTACAATTCCTGCTGCTGCGTGTACACTATTATGATTAGTGCATCTTTTACACGTTATCTGGATTTGGTTAAGAGCGGCAAATGTTGATATGAAGATATTATTATTGAGCAGTTCCACAGCAAAACATGTCTATTTTGATGAAATTTATAATTTTTATCTGATTCAAATCTGTCTTGTGATGAAGTTTACGTTCCAACTGTCTTCTTAAGCCGGGCTTGACCTGCATATGAAATGACGCTTGGTAGGATACAGTCTTGTAATGGAACGCGATTGAATGTTCCGTTAACAATTTTACTGAATACTCAGCACTGACGTGATTCAGCTGAATGAACAGAGAAACGAAAAAACTAACAATTCGAATGTTTCGTCGAAAATCGGATTCAAGCTTTTACTAACAACACGCGTTCTGGCAATTGGTTGAGAAGAATAGCGCATACGTGGTACAAGTTCGATGATGACAAACGGATCACTGAGCCCGTTCGAATCAAGTGGAATTACCTGTTTTGCTCCTATCACTGAAACTGGCTAATTATCTAATGAATTTTAGCCATCCAGTCAACTGATAATTCATGTGACCGATTGTGACAAATAGCAACGATTGTGATTTGGATTAGCATCCCACTTGAATAAATGACTGCCCAATGACTACCCATTTCTTGAGCAAATAAGACGAAATGAACAGACGTCAGGTTATGAATGATAGGACCGATTCGTTATGCATTTAAGCAAATTAATAGATTTGAAGGATAATTTCAGCTTAATAGGCTCAACATGCTTCGTTCCCATTGAATGCCAAAGGTGATGAAGTATGAAAGAATCGAACTCGAGATGGAATATGAATGAATAAGACTCAATGCTCTCAAAAAGTATGAAGTGAACGGACAAAAATGATACCATCCACAACAAGTGTTTGAGAATTTGTGTTGTAGTAGGCACGCACATTCAATATACCGTATTTGCATTCGGAGACCTCATTCTGCAAAAATTTCTCGGTTATAAAGGATGAACAATATTACTAGGAAGGGAGCATTCATTTGAAAACTATGGAATATAACCATAGAAGAAATATACACACAGAAATATACACGCAAGCAAACTACGAGTATTATACTGAAGTTATAAACCTGCTCCTTTAAAAGATCCCTATAGTACTGCTCAATCAGCTGCACTGTAGGGGTTTGATTCAATGCCAGTGTCGACATCAACTTCTGAAAAGTTTGGATCTGCAGTACTTGTCACTTTTAATGATAATATTGGTAAGGATTCAATAAATGTAGAACTTATACCTGATAAGCGGATAGATTATTGAATGTTTCCATAGAAATTCCTTTACCATCGGCGTGAAAGAATTCGGTTAACATGGAAGATCCATCAAAAAGTCGTTGATAGAACATCGGTTCAAGCTGAAGGCCAATGAATCTCTTTTGCAAAAGTAAAACTGTGTGCTCACTGTCAAATAAATTGCATGAAACGAATATAACTGACCCCAGGATTCTCATCAACACATTCTTGAAGCAAGGGAACGAGTGTATTGAGTTGACTTAACATCACCCGCACGAAGTTTTTGTGCAGCAATGTACGATGCACACTGCTTAGTTCAGCATCTAACTGAAAATTGGATCGGTTCAGGTTTGGCTAAGATGAGATATCAGGAAGTTCAAGCGATCAGTTCGCTAAGAATCCTCCAAAAATAATTCCAATATTCCGCTGGCTGACTATCGTTCTGAAGCTTTCCTTCTTTTATTAAAACTCACCATATCAGTTAATGGCTTGATAGCTGTTTCAACAGCGCACGCAGAAGGACTCCACGCAAGATGGAAGATATGTTTTTTGAAGTGTGAACTGAGTCGTCTTGTTAGCCTGTCAATGGTAGCATCTATTTGTTCACTTATATATTTGTCACAATCATCAATTATTTTTTCAATTTCACTTCGCCATTTCGGTTCGCACTGAAAATGAGCAACATTAACGTTTTAACGACCCAAAAAAAGAACAGTCAATAACAATTTCGAGAGTGAGCAGAATTCTGATCCACCTGTTAAAAAGGTGAAGTGGATTGAGAACACAGTCATAAAGCGCACTTTTGGAATTAACCCTGACCATATCCACCTTCTCAATTCATAAATTGGTCTAATAGTGCGAGATTCGATCCACAAAAAGATCCCCCGACAACTTCTTTCATTGAGTCTTTTCGGATATCTTTTGAAGGATGTTCGCTATCACTCGGATCGTTTCGCAACATGTGAAAGTGTCTGCGAATCACATGCAACAACAATCCTTGATTTGAAGCAGTGCTACGAAATTGGGCTGAATGAGCATTCAGACGAATACGTAATTAAAATAACACAAACCTGAGTGACTTTTTGATAAATATGGACAATTTCATCAAGATGCAATTTATCATGGAATAGGAGGCTTCTTCTGACTTGCTCCGCATTATTGACTGCAGCACAGAACTGAAACGAAAAGAAATTTTCATCTCCTAGCGTGTTCACAGCTATACAGCGAATTTCCCTTAACTGGTTGGTAGCAGCAAAAACTCGCACGGACACATTGATCACTTAAAACTAGCAAGCGTGGTGTACGTATGCGACTGACTCGAACGGAGGCAAACGAGAACAAGTATCGCGATGCCAGAAGGTGCAAGCGTGGCAACCAAATCCGAGCGCAGAATACGTATTTATGTTGTGATGAATAATTTCGATATAGAACATTTCAACGTCGATAGGCAATTCATTTGCTCGTAAGGAGATTATTTCTTTGTATTAATAGTTTTATACCTTTGTCATTCTTCTGAATAAGAGAACTCACGAGTCTTACCATTGAAACAAGTGCACCTGGCACGAATACTTGCAGCTCACCACAGAAACCGTCCGATGCAAGCTGCGCTAAAATTTTGTCCACATAATATTCAGTAATTTTACTGATACTTTGAACTAATTTTTCGGTTAAATCCACACGCAAGCGCACATCACAAACGCGCATTCGTTCCCATGTGTTAATTATCTGAAAATCTTCATGAAATACAGTTATTGCTCCCAAGACAATGATATCTATAAGTGTTCAGAATAATGATGACAGCGCTGAAGTTATTCTTTTATTAATAGAAATACATCATCATCATCATCTGCATACGATAGCGTATTGAGAGGCAGATAATGTTCACTCATTTGAGAATGGACTGATCATAATAGAATAAACGCCTGAAAATCTAACCTGTGTTATCATATGACATATATCAACATATGAACTTGAATGTCTGATATCATTTGATGCTTGAATCTGAAAAGAAAGCATTACCTCACAAAAACGCCAAGCAGCACAGCATCAAAGAACTTTTCAGCATTAGATCTCTAATTTTCTAAATATTCTGAAAATGCACCAAACATCAAACTTTCTCCTGCATCAAACCCTTCAATAATAACTTCTCGTTCATTGTTCAAATCATCAAATGAGTCTGAGCTTACCATTGTATCAAGCTGGCATGATAGATTAACTCTAGCAAAAGCACGAACCCGTACCAGATCAATCCATTTGCTGATCGCTTTGTCGAAAATGAACCCCCATTCGTCATTGTCCTCAGCATATCTGAGAATTTTTATAAATATACAGAACGGTCTTATTCTACTCTGACCTTAGTATTGATTTCCTACACTTTCTCGCATCAATCCCTTAATAAATCACAGGGAACATAATTATGATTTTAAAAAGTTCATCCCTATATCGATCGAAAAGCATTATCGTTGATCTTTAGATTGGTTTGGACGAGCAAAAAAACGAAACAAACGGCTATGAAAATGAGAATTTGAATGATATGAAGGGCAGATGGATCGAGATGCAAAATAAAACCAACTTAGGTTTAGGCGAACGATAATTTCTGAATTCAAGAAGGGCGAAATGAATTCTGATCAGAACGATCAGCGATTTTCCATTGTCATCATCTCTCTTCGACGCTTCAATCAACTACAAACGAGTAACAATCAGTGATTCAATCCCCTGAGCTGATGTCTTTATGTTCACACCTCGCAACAATGATTCGAATGCATTTAGGGTAAATTCGAGAGAATGTTGTAATAAACAATCATGATAGCAAATAAACAGACGCATTCTCTTGACATACCGAGCTCTTTAAGTCCATTGCACTTTCACTCATTAACTCGGAACAGAGATATTCTTCCAACTGAAATATCGCTATTCAGCGACTGATTGATTGCTTTGATGCAGATTATTAATGTCATGATCAGTGATGTTTCTATTCCACACTTTTGGCTATTCTTTTCTGTCTCGCATTTTGCTGCTGTGTTCAATGCAATTCTATTCTATTCCCTCTTCTTTCGAGAACTGTTTTATTTTATTCTGTTCCGATGTTTGAACTGTCCTATACTGTTCTGAAGATTGTGGCAACACTCTTACAATATACATTGATAATAATAGTGATAATGATAGGAACAAATAATAATAATGACAATAACAATAATAATAACAATAACAGTAGTAATAATAACAATAATAATAACAATAATAATAACAATAATGATAGCAATAACAATATTAATAATAACAATAATAACAGCAGCAATAATACGACAATGGTAACTTATCTTATTATCCTTGCAGTGCTTCATAGGGAGCAGTTTAAAGAACAGATAAAATCTGTTCTATTCCACCCTTCTACAGCTGTGTTCTGCTCTATTCTGTTCCACCCCTTCTTGGAATTGTTCTATTCCATACTCTTATTCATTTCATAGTATAGAACAGGAATGGAACATTTTAACAGGAATAGAAACATCACTGGTTATGAAGCGGAATAGCTTTACGCAGCTACAGATAACGCAACCAGCTCAGTCTGGGAAACTATTTTTCATTCATAACTGTTAACTTCAATGTTTTGAAAATTATGAATCGAAATTCCGCCTAGAAATTTTTTGAAATTGGATTGTTCAACATTTCTCACTGAATCTTCCTAAATGAGCGAAATAACTGATTAAGAGTATTGTTTTGGATAAGGAATTGACATCAAATAGAAGTAGGTATCAGCAAGGTTTATTTGAATGGCAATTCGCATTTTATTTTGGTAAATTTCAGAGCTGAAATGATAACTTCTGTAACGAAAAAATGATGTGATAGGCTGAATAACTAACCATCCTGTTAAACTGGTAATAGCTAAGATTTGCGTAGTCCACGCCTGCGAAAGCCTTGAAAATGGGATCGTAAGAGATAAATTTGGCACAGGCAGCATTCACTGAATGCAACAACGACGATAACTCCAAGCATGGATCCTGCAAGCAAATTTGTTGATTAATCACTCATTGCCTCTACCACTATCATCTCCTCATGAATAATGATATCTATTTACAATAAGTTAACTTAACGATTAAGTTGTTGCAAAAAAATGACAATGAGTTTCGATCACTTTAACGTTTATTCTGGAAATGTAAAGTTGGGAAATACTGAAAAGTAAAGAAATCTCACAACAGCGCTTATCACCATTTGTTGCAACTGATTCTAAAATAAAATCTTTTTGTTTTTATATTGCATTGAGGTAATAATCTCATTCGATTGCTCAAGAAGCATATGAACTAACGCTATTTGTTGCATCTTCAATTGCTTTCTTGAAATATGCTTCAGCTGACATCTGAAAAGAAAAAAGAATTTGGTATTATCTTAACGCCGATCAATTTCCTAGAAAGGAAAGAAATGAGAAAGAAAATGAAAACATGCCTCAATTTGAGCACACAACGTTGCATCAAAGGAACGCTGAAGTGGAACGCATTTTTCATACAACGAGCTCTCACGCATTAGTTTCATGCATCTGAATATGCAGCAATCGTAACATTACTGTCTCTTCGGAGACATTTAATCAGTGATGCATTCATTGTCGTTGAATTTCATCCATTCGACTCAACGTTCACAATTCAGGTTCACAAGGCAAAAATCATTCTCACTCCTACGGCGCTCTTCCCTCGAATATTTCACCATAATAGTTTTGACCTATTCCCAGATGAGCAACTTTTGAAAAATAGCATGTTTCTTTGAAAGCTATTTATGTTCATCTAAAATAATGACTTCTCGTAATACTCGCAATTCAAAAGGTTTCGATGATAAATTCATCAAATTTTGAATAGGGTTAGTCTTGTATGAACTATGAAAAGGGGGTGTATCTATCGGAGACTGATCATGTAGTAGCGATGCAATATTATACGAAGATAGATTAATGGTTCTCGTAAAGAGTGGAGGGCTAATCTTGTAATATCAGGAATGAAACGGTGAGCTTGGTAAATGAATTTCGATTGATTTCTTTCATAATTGTGAAATCAACCTCTCAAAATGCTTGTTCGATCATAGAAGTTAAATCTTTTGCTGTTATCGGCGAATTCCAGGCAACAAACTCCATGATCATTCAATCAGTTGTTTGATCATCAATGTTGGAAGGGAGGATTAGGCAGTTGGCGGTAACTTGGAGAGTTAAAAGGAAAATGAATGAAGCTTAGGTCTGCCATACGGTCGAAGTGGTTCATCTCATGATTGAACGGATCATCGCATGATCAGGGCAACTCAATGATTTAAGTTTTTTAGAAGAATTTGAAAAAGCAATGCACAGCACTTAGTTATGGATACAGAAATGCACATACGAGTAACCTCAATAAATTGGCAATCGAGTCGAGTTGCTCACGACGATTGGTGGGAAATCGTGTCCGGTGATCCATCATCGCTATACGACAGTGCTGGTCGAATGCCGTAAAAGAATCACCCAACAGATTTTCATCATCCTCAATAAGCGATTAATATGGTACAGAAGTTATTCCATTTAGGAGGTCTACTTATACAGAGTAAAACTTCAACAATCAAGTATTTAATAACTCAAGCATGAATTTGACCGTCTCGAACGATGCATTTGAAACCGACTTACTTACTGAGGTTTAAGTGAAAGAAAAATCGAAACATAGGTAAGGAATAATTCAAACATTCTTCTTTTCCTACAAGGAACAAACGGTTCACTGCAGATAGTTTCGAGATGTTCCTTGCACAATCTAAACCATCATAAATATCTATCTAAAAACGAACCTTATCAAGAATGAGTGGTTCCCACTTCATAATCAAGTCAGACAGCACATCAAAAAGAAATGCATAGGATATACCAATATTCAGCATAGAGACATACGCCAACCATGAACTGAAATGTGAAAAGTACTAAATAGTTGAGAAATAGAACATTTAACCACAAATTCTTACTGACGAGAACAGAGGGAAGTGTGCTAACGAATTGTTCATAAATACATACCATAATGCTTGATGAAGTTCAGTGAGATCACCTTGTATTGCATGCTGATGTAATATTGTTTTTGCGGCTTCCGGCAGTTCACCTTGATATGACGAAACAGGAGCCTATAGCAATTTAATCACATTGCAAGAAATCAGCAATACAATTCGTTATTATGAAATTTATAACGCCATTGGATTCTCATGTCCAGAATGATATTGTTGAAAAAAGTGAACGATGAAACTGAACAATTCGAGCGTCATCGGAATGACTGAATTCTATAAATGTGAATTGAATTATATAAATCTATGACCCCTGAATGACTGATTTCATGTATAGCAAACTGTCGAATCAGGTCGACGTGCTGCTTAACGTCAACCAAATCGTCTTCATCCATTTCATTGCGCTCCTCTTTGGTACTCAACCATAACTGAAAGATTTCTATGGTTCTCAAACAAAATTGAATAAGTGTGATGAAAAGTTATAACAAAATTATAGTTCCATCCTATTTCTGAAGTATGTTGGAAATAAACGACGTGATTTATTACCTTCAATTTAACTTGACCCGACACTTCCGATCTTTCAGACCTCTTCTCAAGAGTGAACCAGTCATCAATGCCTACTGATGGAATATCCTAGAAGAACAGTAATGACATTTTTGGCAGTACCAGTTATCGTGGCAATAACAGCACCGCTAATGTGTTCCTTATTTTACATTCTCCATCAGCCTTAAATCACCTATCCCTGAACGTTTCATGAAGGAGAACTTTTAATTGGCAATGAACGTTGAAGTAAACATGTCTAGTCAGAGCAATGTAAAAACCTTAATTTTGAGCGTTATGCATCCAAGAAAGTCATCAACACAATCTTGCGAATCAGCACGTGCACTCTGCGTAACTTCCTTAAAATATCTTCCAAGACCCTTTAATCCAGAAATATGATTCAGCGAAGTAACCGCATCAATGACAGATTGTTCTTCGTCGTCATGATCCCTGAATAACATACAGTCACATTTCTTATGATTGCGCTTTTAAATTCAGAAACTGGAATCGCAACAATACAGCGCAATGATGAAAGGTATGCAAAAACGGAATGGTGATTGACAGAAAAGTTTGCCGAGAGCTGTGTCCTCACCATATATCCATATGGAAACGATCAGTAGCAACATCGTCGACAACGAATTGAAACTTTTCATTCCATTTCGGATTGAGCGTTTTCCGTTGCACTGATGATGCCTTAATCAGTTTAGCTGGAATATGTTTAGTTTCAGGATCCTTTGCGTTCTTCCTCGATCCAATTCGACGTTGAAAAGATCCCCCGAAACGATGAAAAACACCACCACCACCAAGTCGTTTTTGCTGTAATGCATTGTAGGAAATGGCAAATGTTATTAGCAATATCTTATTCAATTTTTTAATGATTTCAGTGTAGATTACAGCTATACCTTAAGTACTTGCTTGCATGTAACCGTAAAAGATTCCGGCTAAGGCTGAAAAGTAAGTTGGTTGCATGCTCACGGCACAGATAAAATTCATGTCAGATAGTATTCAAGCATCAATCTTTCCCTAAAGTGGATTCAATTAGATACCAAAAGACTGAGACTAGAAATCGCTTTTAAAAGATACTGGAAATGAGAATGAATCTTTTTGAGTATTTCCTGAGAAAAACTATGTAAAATGTTGTGAGGAATCTACAGTAATACTGAAAAATTTTCTCAAATTATATGGCCACTGAAATTATCCATTCATTCTACTGAAAAAAGTCATTCCATTTCAGTTCACACACGTATCCGGCAGTGTAGGTGCGCAGGCAGGAAAAAAGCCGGGGACGGGAAAAATCGGGTACGAAATTTTGCAGCCGTGGACCCCGAAAATGCGGTCGAATCAAAAACTGACGGAAACGGGGACTCGGGGACGGGAACGGGAACCCCGAAATTCCCCGATCCCCGCACTACACTACATAAAACTACGCGCGACAAACAATCGAGTTAAGAGAAAAAGAATATCATAACATCCAGAAGTACATTGAATGGCGTCTTCTCGACTGTATGGGGGGACAGTGGTTGAATATTGGCGTCATCTCCATTCACCGTCGAATCTCGCTCTTGTGTACATTTTTCAAGTTTGGGCGATCCAACTGGCTTTTGTTGCTCATGTGTTCTACTTGGTACAACACCCATCATCGAGAACGGATCACTGAATCCTTGAAAAGTCATCTTTCAACTATTTTTTTTTAAATCAATAACCACCAAAATCGAATGATCTGTTGCGTACATTTTAACATCCATTTGCTTGGGATATTCGTGAGATTTTTATGTTACTTGGCTGACGCAGCTAATTGTTCACTTTATTAATTCGGAATGAACCGAAATATGAAATATAAGGTGAAGGAGAAACAAACGAGTGAAATTCAAACCGTTGACATCCTTTGCGATCAAATCCCTCGCCTCAAGAAGCAGCACATTGAGCAGGACAACGGGTGGCTGAAGTAACAATGCATGCGTTAGGGAAATGATTATGTTCATGAAAAAATTTATATTTTGCAATTTCACTGCCTCAAGATATCGTTTCCGACATGAGATCATATAGCAACAGTACAATTGGGAATTTTTTAAATGGTACATCCGCTTGCCCAGGCATACTAGAAGTTACAGCATGCAATGCGTGATGTGATGAAATAATATAAGTTCGTAACACCGAAATGAGTGATTTCAGCATCGTAAATTCGAACAAGTCTAGTTATGTTACTAAATCACTGAAAAACGTTAATGCAAAAACGTATGAAAACAAAGCACCAACATACAACAGTCAGTATTTTGTTAATCAAAAGGATATAGTTTATTGACAGGTAGCTTAAATGTGCTTTTGCAAGTGAGTTAAAATTTGCATGGAGGCGAACAGTAAATCGATGAACGTCAATTGAAATATGTTCAGCGAACACACAATTATCCTCAGGAAATTGCATAGCTGCTGATCCTGTCAGTATGGATGGATTTATTTTGTTGATCTTTTGAGATAACCTTTTCTTCATTTGCTCTGCTAACGAGACGCCTATGACGATTATCGTCAACCCTAAATGACTGTTGAACATATTTGATGAGCGCTTCATCAGGAAAACCACTCGAACGGCCGACTTTATGAAATATCGTATAGAGAGCCTCTACATAAAGATCCTTAATTGAACCATTTTATTACAAATATTTCCAAATGATTGCCGATTAAAAAGCATTCATTGCTCTCAGAAAAGATAAACTTTTTTTTGGAGGAAGGATCAATATCGTAATCAAACTGAGATGAAAAATTTGGAACGGTGATATGTTTTAATGAGAATTATCTACACTGCTTGAACGATATGCATAGTTGGATGAGCCAACGATCTCCACAGATAGGTTCAATTTAAGTTTGCATGCGTATGATGATCAACAGAATGAAAAAACTTTCAATATTCATAAAATTAATTGCTATTGTTGGGACTCACTATGTTCCGTTGAGTGAGCTTAAGAGTAGTAAAAGTCCGAATTTTACAATGATAAGACATACATACCTCCAATAACTTTTCGTCGCAATTAAATGAGAGATTTTTCACGAAAACATCCCCATTGAACACTTCCACCTCCTTGGTTGTCGTCGAGGAATTTTTTTGAGCACTTGTGAATTGCTCAAAGAAGCTACCATCTGATGCTTGAACTCTGTAACAAAGCACTACCATCAAGTTTGCAAACAAAAACACAGCTCTTGCCTGACTTTTGACTGAAACCACAAGCTACCAAATAGTCTCAATGCCAGCGTATGTTTAAATGTGATCATTGAAGTAGACCAGTGAAATTAATCATTCACTGTCGTGGATCAATGTCTTAATTTGGAACTTTAATAACAAAAATTTACATGAAGCGTTTTAAAAACGCTCAATTGTATGAAAAAAATTCTGTTCCCTCAACGAGACCAATCAACATGAAGCCTCAAGATCAAGTATAAACTGAGTTTTTCCCTACCCATAAACTCACTTAAATTATGAATGATTCATAGTTTTAGCAGATATCATATTCAATAATTATATGCATCAAGAGGAACGAAGATCGAATAAGAAACATTATCAAACTTTCACAATATTTCAGTGTTGCACTACGTTCCAAATAATGAACTCACTGCTCAACTCTGTATGAAATTCTCTCCCACCACTTGGAATCAAACCCGCAACGTTGCGCTCACCCAACAACTGCTCTACCCATTAGCACGGCAATGCAATTGAAATGAATCAATTTGGAATTGATAAACACACTTTCGATGAATCTCCGGATTCGGTTTCATTATATACACGGTTGTAATTTACATTACTTTTTAATCATCATGCAGTAATAGATTAGCAGCAATTAATTGACTGATGAACATAGTGAGTATGAAGTGTGCGATGATCGATGACCAACAACAACAGCAGCACCGTTTGTCGACCGTTGCTATGATAATGCTTGTAGCGACCAAGCACACCGCTCTTTATAACCTTGTATTTCAGCGATAGAAAATAGTTTTTCGGCTATAAAAAATAACTGCATAATTCGATTCGATTTCGTTCAGTTATTGTTTTCCGTATGAACGAATTGAAGAAAAAGAAGATTAACATATTTCTTCCATCTATTCTACCATTAATGGAACGACTGAGCAAATCGTATCTTCCAGATTCATCTTCATCACCATTTCAATAAGTTTCAACAAGTGGGACGCATAAAAATTAGCAATTAGGCTGTTTTCAAAGCCACAACTTAGTCAACAACAATATATGTATGTAAGAAATCAATGAGATTTTTGAAGCAGGGAAGAATTCATACTACATCAACAAAAGAGATGAGAACGTTCAATGGATTTTAACCGAACAAATTTAGAACAATTAGAAATTAGTGTATGTACAGTTCTATTGCGCTCAACCAATGGGATCTTCAAAAATCAGAGACAGATTTAAAAGTTTTATACGATACCTCACAAGGTGCAATTAACAGATCAGTTCATCCAGCTCATTAAAAAATATTTCAAATAAATCATAACCATATATGGTTTTAATCTGACTGGAACGCTGGCCTAGATATTTCATGGTTTTTATTGACACGATTTCACATGAGGTGAGTTCCCGTTGCAAACTACCTTTTTACATGTTGACTAATGTCAATGCTTAAGACAGAGATTATTTCCACAACTGCATCAAGGAATGAGTGAAATGGTGACTACGAAACACTGAAATTAAAACAAAAAATAGCCTCATGTCCAATGCATATCCTTGCTTGCTGTTATCCGTTGCACAATTCATGACTAATGAGCATATCAAGTTCAGAAGATGAGGAGATCAAATTAATATTGATATTCTCCGCTCTACTGAACGAAACGTTGTTATAAATGAACATCCCTCAGAATTTTCTCTGTTCATTAAAACAATCCTGTTAGCTAACATAGAAAATAAGCTTATTTTGAACATCTTTTTTTTTCAATATATTTATGAAAATCTAGTGATTCTATTGAAGTTATCCAGTGAAGTTATCAAGATGCATAACGAACCCTCTCACCCGGGACACACTTTCATTGGATTGACAATTTCTTTCCGTTTCTCACGTATATGTAGGATACCATTTTTCAACAGACAAAACATCTAGAACGATTCTCACAACTGGTAAATGATTATGGAGAAGATGATGAATTGCTGAGTATTTCGAATTTCATGAAATGAGTAACCGTTCGCTGGTCATAAACTCGTGACGCGGTTTCCTTGAACACCCAAGAAGACAAATATTAGGCACTTCTGTAAACGACAAGTGAATTCTGTTTTTATGAGACTCACTTACAGCTATCGTCTGGAACAATGATTTGGACTACGAGAACGAGGGAAGACGTTAGCAGTTCGCAAAATCGGGGTGACTGCATGGCATGTTTCACGGAGTAAGATAATCTTTTGTTTGATGAACGTGAGAAAGCAATTTGAAAGGTCTCAGTATCGGTTGTTGGGAACATTCTCAATGATTGGCACAATAGGTATCCATGTATAGGTAATTTTTCGAATGGATAGCTGCTAACTGATGAGAAAATAGACGACAGGTAAGCATCGGTTATTACTGAAACTGATCTCCTCATGAAGAGTTTTCTCTCCATGCATTTAGACAGTCTTTGGGAACAAAAATAAATCGGAACTGCTTTATCAGATGAGCTTTCATGAGGATGATGCAAGAAGTGAGTGAAGTTGAATGTTCGCAATTGGGCAAAGTGAAATGAATGACCGAAAAACAGCATGCATTAGGAAGCAGATGACTTTTCAGCAGTAGAAATCCGATGCTCTCAAGATGTGAGCCAAGTCACGAAAAATTGCATGAAATTTGGAATGAGTTCTCAGACGAATGCACTAGTCACTAGTCAAGAAAACAACATTTATAAAATGACATTATAGAATTGCAGAATCGCAACTGTGAGAATGGATGACACCAAGAGTACCGCATACACCTGCTGTTATTTGTAAGATTCAGCAGAATATCAAAAAACACCTCGCACCCGGCGTTATTATTCGTACGAATGAGATGACTAAAGTGGTGTATGCACATATTTCGATGAGGAAAATTACAAATCTTGTAGAAGTGGCAAGCAACACTGATGAGATTTTTAAGCTGATCAATACAGACGATCGGTAGGCATGCAATCTTAAAAGTTCATTCACTTGTTTCAAAACCGTAACCTATCGCTAAAAAATGAATTGAAACAAGGTGGAAAACCCGTTAAGAATTAATCTCGTCTGAATATATATGTCTCAACGGCTAGAAAATAGATGTAAAGCGGGCCCGACATAACAAATTAATGGCGAACCAAAAAATGAAAAATAACTGTTTTATGGTATGTGGAATGAATGATGGTGACAAAATGAAAATATTTGAAAAAATTATAGGCAATATCGCAGGAGTGAATACTGCAAAATTCAGGATAGCCTGGCTCATGCAAAAAATGCCAAACAAAGAACTGTCTGAAAAGCATAAGCACATATTGAAGAGCACCATAGGAATACAGCAAAAATT